CGTCTCCCACAGCGCCGTGGGGCAGGGCTCTCCGCCCGGCGCCGGCGCCTTCAGCACGGCGCGCGACCGCGTCTGGTAGCCCCCTGCGCACGTCGCCACGCAGCCCGCGCTCACAACACTTCCACGCCACTCGCTTTGATGCTGCAGACCGTTCGACCGCAGCGCCTTCGTCGACTTACTGCTAGACGCTTGGAGAATTTGGGAGACAGTAGTCAAATTTTCCCATCTCGCGTTTACTCCGAGGCGCTGCGATTAGAAGTCAGTGATAGGTGCAAATTATTCTAATGTGATAGGCGAATTTTCGCCAGGTTGCGCAGTGCCAAAGGATTCAATCACAGATCTAAAGTAGCCGCTTGACACAAGCTAAACAGAATCGGAGAATAATAATTTGGTTGTCTAATGGTACAATATTATGGTCTGTATAAAAAATCATAGCATAGTAGCTGTAGTATATGATCTTTGGTTCCACGGGTTCATCGAGTTTCTCTGTGGCAAAACTGGCTGATAAAAATATTAGAAAACACGCGTCAAAAGGTGTTTTGGCCGCCTCTTCAGACCGATAGAAATGCGATTTGCAAATCACGGCTCTTTTAACGCTCTGCATCCAGATTCAACGATTGCATGTAACTCGAAACTTGTGCGTCCTCGAACTGTACAACTGGGTATTTGAAGCCGGTAGCAACGCGTTCTGATTCTCGTGCTTTAATATACAAAATAAGAACTTTTAGTACCTTTTATTTCATTATGCGGGGATCACCTCTACTAGGTAGTCCCATTGAGTCGCAAGGTTGGTCAAAAAAGTGCAGAATCTTGGATTTTACATTTTTTGCTGATTTCATCGATTTTAATTTTTACTTGCTCCAATTAATAATTAAGAGATGCAACAAGTGTTTTTCACAGAATTCCTCCGTAGCCTATTTGATTTATTCCCACAGAAATTATGTCAGCCTTGTAGCTATGTAATCTGAGCTTCTGTGACCCCTATCTGCGACCCCTTTGTCGGCGGCGATGGTGTAACGGTTAGCGTACTGGACTGTTGTACCCGGCGGGTTCAAACCCGATCGAAGCCGTGGATTTTTTAAGGGCGAAAAAAATCCTTCATACGCCTTCCTTCGGAGGGGAAGTAAAGCCGGCTGTCCCATGTTCGTAGATTTACTTGCATGTAAAAGATCCTCAAGCCTAAATGATGCCTCTGAGCTAAATTCAAGTCGCCTGTTTCTCGCCCAAGATACCTCCTTTCTCCGGTAGTTGGTGAAAGGAGCGTAGCGAAATTTACGTGGTCAGACGGAAGAGCAGGCCTAAAGGCCTGAGTATCGCCACGTAAAATAAGGCATAATTCAATTCAATTCAATCAGCCATTATCAGTTCAGCCAATTTCACGACAAATACATACAGAGAGTTCGTGGTAAAGAACAGACCAAACCAAAAGTTTGCAAGCTCAGTTTACTTGAATAAAAGAAAGAAACCTCGATTACATCAATAACATATCCAACAGCTTGAGTTGTTCATCTAAACGGGTATTGATAACATTTTTGTCATTTTTTGCTTTTAGAGTATTTTATTGATCAATTCTGGCGATGATTTTGATAATCAAAATCCGCCCCCTACTTATTACTCTATTTCCATCATGAATGAATGATTGAATAATTGATTACTAGTGATTCCGGGCGCGTCAACTGCTAAAGTACTTAGACCCGTAGGTGTAGTGCATGCTTTTTCTTCGGGAGGTGGCGGTGATCTTGCCCCGCGGGATGGCGAGATCCGGCGCCTACCTACCGTCCGCTGGCAGGGTTTTCCCAACCAGGTATTTCCCACTAGCAGGGCACAGCTCCAGCCGGGACAAGCTCTAAACTCCCGATCGGTCTCCCGGTATATGTGGTAGGGTAGTGCATGTACGTTTAAGTGTGTGTGTGTGTGTGCGTGTGTGTGCGTGCGTGTGCGTGTGCGTGTAAGGGGTGAGGATAGGACAAGGATTGGTAAGGAAAGATCGCGGCCGGTCCGTGGCTTGTTTGGTTGGGTACCGCTCCGACATACGTCTGGTATTGTTCGGAGACACCAAGAGAAACTACCGATCAGAGCAATTGGTCGCTAGAACTCTCCTTCAGACAGGGACGGAACTCGATCTAGCCGTCTGGCCATTGTCGAAAATCCTGCCACCCTCGGGACGCGAACCTCAGGAGCTCCCGGTCGGAGGCACTGCAGTGACATCAGTTGATGCCTTGAACTACCTCTCGCGGTTCCACCATGAACATCGCGCTCACTCTCCCCTCCAAAAATAAAAAGGCGGCGGACGGGGCACTCACCGACGTCGGGGCCGCGGCAGTCGCGGTGGCAATGCGACCAGCGCGACCACTCGCTGACGTGGCAGTCGCCGCGGCAGGGCACGTAGCAGGAGTCCTGCGCGCGCAGCTCCTCGGGGCGCGGCACGGGCGCGACGGGCGTGAGGGCGGCCGGGTCGTCGCCGCCGCCGCCGCCGTCGTCGATGAGCGCCAGCTGCGCGCCGCGGCGCCGCTGCTCGCGCCGGCACAGGCGCGGCTCCACGGGCGTGACGCCATCGCGCAGGCAGCGCACCTCGCGCCGCACCGTGCCGTGGCCGCACCACGCGCCCTGCGGCGCCGGAAGCGAACGCAAATAATCCACCTGCTTCAATAGGCGTAATAGACATAGTCCTTACGTTTTTAACAATTTATACACGTTAATTATGCATTTATACCAGATCGGGTTATATCAATTTCTTTACCCTGTTTCTTGCCTATAATCATGTAACCACAATTGATACTATCTGTATATGTAAGTTTATGTGTTGTAGTTTTCTTAAACGTAGATGACAAGTTTTGCCTTATTATTTTTTGTTGTTAAAAATGTAATACATAAATTATCCAATCGACTTATGTTTTAACCAACTCTGTGACAATATCTATTCATATTCATTCCATTAAAAAAACGTTTATCTGTATTAAAATACAATCGAATATCCTTTTATCGAATCTGACAGTTCCTTCGATGTATACGATATTTTGAAACTTCAAATGGCACTTCAATGTGTGTTTCACTTGCACTTACATTTATTATTACTTCCCTTCCCACTATCGTAAAATGTTAAAAAAAAAATAAAAAAAAAGAGGCTAACTCCCGCCTCAAATTGCGTTACTATTAGTACCATCACATTGGACATCGTTATTCGATAAAGGTTTTACAATTTACTAAATGTTACTGACCACGAGAAAAATAGAATTTAGAGTTTTCTTGAGAGATCAAATATATTCACAGACGGTTAACTAATGCTTCTGATTTACACGGCTGTTTTTAAAAATTACCAGTTCCTTACGTAAAGCTCTAGAAATTATATTCCTTTCGCAGATTACACAACTCACATTCTAAAAGGTTACCAGACAGGCGTGCGTGTGTGTGGAGCTAAGATCTCCCCGTGCGCTCTTGTGCAAACGGCTAGGTCAGACTTACGTGTAGGTCGCAGGCGCCCCATTGGCCGACGTCCCAGGTGTAGCAGGGGCGCGCGGGGCAGGGCCGCGTCTGCAGCAGCGGCAGCGGGCACGGCCGGCCGCGCGGGCTGCTGGCCGTCAGCACGTGGCGGCGCCGCAGCTGCTGCCCGCCTGAACGCACACACACACACGCAAGCGCGTCAGAGCCAGTGGGGCAAGAGTCTCTTCGAGAGCGACGCGAGCAAAAGGATCGCGTATCGCTTTCATTACGACGTGACCACGCGGCGACTTGTACCACTTCTCAATTTATTGCCATTTAACGCGGAGAGAATTATAGATCACGTATATATTCTAAATTGACGATTCTTAAATTAAACTACCAGTGGGGAAAGGGAAAGAGATACCGTGATAGTAGTGTTCACAAAGCAAATTGGCTTTCATGAACTATTACAAGAGTTAGAACGTTATTTGCAGAATTTACAAGAAATTTAAAAGTCGCGATGTGTTTAAAACATTCTCCCCCGCTCCTATCCAAACGCCGTTTCTGTTGCATACACTGCAGTTCCTGATCATATTAAACGCCCCAAATCGCAATTGTACTATATCCTAAAATATCTAACATGTAACACTTTTCTTATTGCAATGGACATTTGAGAACTTCAAAAAACTGTAACGAATGATTACAGGAATATATGGTTTCAGTGACCAAATACAATTCTTGAATTAAAAGAACGATGACACTTTTTGGTGACCAAAACTAACATGAAACCTCGTGTTTTACTAGATTAAGTTTGAATGTCAATGAAGCGCAGAAAACATATCCCTCCGAATTTTAGAAAAAAAATAAAATTGTAGTAGTTTTTAACCTAACGCAGTTCGAAAGGGGTGAGAGCGCAATTTGACCGCGGGTGTGCAGCATGCTTACCCACATCCCCGCAGCGGCACTGCGACGCGTTCCACGGCGTCCAGGAGGACACCTCGCAGTCCACGGGGCAGTCCACGTAGCACCACTTCTCCGTCGGCGTGGGCCGGTCCGCCTCCGGGCACAGGCTGCGGCACCGACCAGGGGAGGGCAGGCTTTAAGTTTCAGTGCTCATCCCATGCAGGTCACAAGATTAAATAAAAACTTGGAGTAAATTGTATTTTATAGACGATTTTTATTATGAGTACCAATTTATATAGGGTGGACTAGGGAAAATGTGTACGTGGGGTACATGCGTACTCATTTAAAAAAAAGTGAGAATATGATCTTCCTAGTGATTTAAATTGTACCAACGTGAGAAAGAAACATTGGAAGCTAAAAAAGTATTTACTGCCCTCCCCTAGTCAACTATAATATAGAAAACAAATCCTATACGGTTTTGTTCGTCTCTAATGCTCTTTTGTACACATTTGCCCCAATAACGAAACAACTAGATCTTACAGGAATACCAAGCACAGTACACATTTACCTCACAGTCTGGGGTCAAAATGTACTTGAGAGGTTGTTTCAAAGAACTTTGATGAAACCACAAAAAATAGTTTTTAAACATCATGCTCAACTGTTATTTACAATTTTGAATAAGAGTCCTAAATGATAAAATTAAAAATTCTAATTTTAGTTAATGTTGACCCACTAAAAACCGACAGAGTTGAATTTTGCTGAAAATGGTACGCAATTACCCCACTCCACCCTACCGGCAGGGGCGGTGCCCCTGGTGGGAGATACCTTGGCTAGGGAAAACACGCAAGCCTACGTGAAGGTCGGCGTTGGATCTCGTCAGGCTGCAGGGGTAGAAGACCGCCTCCTCCCGTGATAAAAAGGCAGTACACTTACGAACCCAGCAGTCGACGCGCCCGTAAACCCCGCTCAATGAACGAGTGCATCCAGCGGCCGCCGACTCGACCCACCTGTCGGCGACGGGGCGTCCGTCAGAGCGGCGGCAGTAGACGGCGCGGGCCTGCACGCCCTCGCCGCACGGCGACCCGCCCAGCGGCAGGCACGACGAGTAGGCGGTGGCGCGCCACGCGTACGTGAAGCAGGTGGAGTTGATGCGGCAGCCCTGCACCTCGATGAGCGGCGGGCAGCCCTCCCCGTCCGACGCCGGCCCGCGCAGCACGGAGCGCGTGCGCTGGCGCTCGCGGCTCGGCTCGCACGGCTGCGCACGCGCGGGCAGGGGGCGTCGGGAATTGAGTACTCACGTCCACGCTTACGCACGGGTTAAACCACCCCGGTTTAAATGACGGTTTGAACCACGATTTAAATTACGAGGATTAAAAAACCTGCATGTTTAAAAAAAAGTTTGTTCCTTTGAACCAAAACAGATAGATAGTATTGGTACAGTAAAATTTTATTTCGCTTTCAGTAAGCAGGAAACGAGTTCGGTTTAAATAACACTTCCGCGTGGTTTTGGTTATAAAATGAAACTTAATGTTTCTTTATGAAACTTAATGTCCCGTTGAATGAAGGATAATTCATCTTCATTTATGTCGTTAATGCCCCTATTTATGATTGAAGAAGGTCAGATTGTGTGGATTTATATATAATTATAAATAAAATATAATTATTGACACTGGGAATATCTGATAAATCAAATACTATATCATCATCATCATCATCATCATCTAATACATCAAATACTATAATCTGCGGTTTCCTTGGTTTTGAATCAGACTACCTCTCAGATAAGAGAATATTAATAGGTTGTCGTGTTAATCAAAAGACAATGAATTAAAAGTTCACACATCTGTTTTTGAAAACACATATTCAGTTGAAGTACATTGCACTCACCTTAGGGCACTCCGACCAGTCGGACCAAGGAGAGAGCACGCAGTCGCCCGGACAAGCGACGTGACATGCGTTGACATCGGCTGGTTGTGTGACTGGGTCGCAGTACGGATCCGCTACCTCTTCGGGTAGAGCGTGGGGACGGAACCTCATGCACCTGAGGGAAGAGATCATTCTGAAAAACGTCTCAAGAATAAAGGAGCCTATAAGAAGAAACACCAAACGCATTCTCCTGACATCTCAGGGATCGATATCTGTAGACCTTTCCAACTGGCCTGTGCTACTTATTGAACGCGGTTATTTGCATTAAGAGAAAAGTGAGAACTCAGGAGGGTCCTACGATGTCCGAAGAACCGAACAAATGTGATCCTTTCTCAACATTAGAGAATTTTCGCTGATTTTGTAATAAAACGTCCTATAGAAACGACGCGAACGTCCTATAGGCGATCGCGTCATCGTTATTAGAAAACGTACGTTATTTGCTTTCCTTACCTGACTCGACGGTATTGGTCGCCAGTGCCACAGCCCCGGGCGCGGTCTGTGCCGATGAGCTGGCAGTCGCCCCAACCAGCTGCTACCCACCTGCAAGATTAGCGTTATGTTACTGAAAAGAGGCCTCATTGTAATGTGACATGAAGAAAGGAAAACTTACAATATTCTATTTATTCAGATTTTTACAATGATGTATATTACCGAAGAGAATTTGTACTTTTGTATATTTAATAATATCGCGTGAAACAAACAATATAAAATGTTCCAATGCAAAAAGCTTTTAAAAACACTGGTAATACGATCTACGAGTTACTCTTTAAGAACAATATTCCCTTTGTCACTTAATGTTAATTTACTCATTTATGTCTCAAGTTGAAACGTTTATCTACAAGCGGTTTTAAAGATTTTTACATCGGAATACAAATAAATTAAAGTAGTCATATGGTATAACGCAAAATGTTTTTTTCGCGAAATTCCGGAAACCATCAAGTAGAAATTAAAGTAGAAAAATGAAAAAAAATATATCTCTATAGATAAAATCTTTGGGTATCGCCTGGCATTGCTTCTTGCCTGACACTTAACAGTACCTTCACCCTCTCCCAAACATTAAAAGCATGTAATACTTTTATTATTTTGGTATGCATCCAGGACCGGATTTAGGTATTAGTCACCCCAAGCACAGAATCTTGTTGTGGCGCCTCCAGATTTACTACAGCCCACTAATTATAATAGAATAACTTTTTGTACAAATATCAATGAAAATTAACAAATTTCTTATAGAATTGAACAAACTTATATTATATTTTTATTTAAATATATTTTTAATTTCTTGTCTACTATTACTAATACATAATTGTTAATATATTTTTTGGCCCTTTAGTTTTTGTGAACGTGAACATACATGAACAGACAGGTGTATATTAACATAATACTAATACATGTTTAGTACAGTAAACTATTTGATAAACAATTATTTTAAGGGTTCAAACATTTTAAAACGAACGTTTTTCGAATATTTTATTCAAGTGACCCCCTCTCCCTCCGGCAAAGGTTAGGGTTAAAATAGGGATCCCAGAATTTAAGAAAACGGGCACAGAATTTACTTTTCCCCGTAGTATGTCACACAGTTTTTAACTATTTATGACATTACATAAATATATGAAATAATATATAAGTATATAATAATATATAAATAAGAAAGTAAATAAATAAGTAAAAAACAATTACATAACTAAATAAGCAAAGAAACTCACTTGAAGTGGTCGCAGGGCTCCTGGCAGAGCTTGGTCTCGGTGAGCGCGCCGCAGGGCCGGCCCGAGTTGGCGGGCTCGCGCAGCACGCGCCGCGTGCGCGTCTGCACGCCCGGGCCGCACAGCGCCGAGCACGCGCCCCAGGGCGTCCACTCGCTCAGCAGGCAGTCGGCGGGGCACGGCACCAGGCACGGCTCCTCCTGCAGCCCGGCCGGCACGCCGCACAGGCTGCGCACCGCACGCCCGCACCCTCAGCCTTCTGTGCGCTTCGCCACTCAACGCTCTTCACACATTTCCCGGGCCCACTGTTCTTCGGATTCTTATTTTCACGTAAAGCTATTTCAGGGCAAGTTTCGACAGAATACGTCCGGCCATGTCCTTGTTTGTGCACTCACGCGCTGACGTACTACTTAAATTTCGTAATTTATTGGAAGAAATCGAATTAAAAATAAAATGAATGACGTGTCTCTATTGCCCATAACTTTGTTAACTTTAGGAAATCAAAGTAGTTGCAATTCGTTTATTAAACGCCGCATTATAAGTGTAATTTGTGAACTGTTAGCTTCACAAAATTGGGTCTCAAAATGATCAACGACATGGACGAGACGGACTAGGGATATTGTCAATATTCTAAAATATATTAGGAAGTTTAAAAGGGACAAAAAATGTTTCGAAACTACTTCCATGCGTATTACTAAAACCATCTTGTAGTAACAGGTATAGCAAGAGAATGAAATGATTGCAACGGAACACATTCATAATAATTACACAGAAAATGCATCGTATTATATTTTTATAACATGGTTATATAAATGACAATAAAGCAAACTACAGACAAAGAAGCTATCTGAACGAAGGAAGTAAAAAGAGAAAAGAACAAAGGGGGAAAGAAGCGAAAGGAGTAGAATGGAAAAAAATCAGATGGCAAGCGGAGAAGAGTGAAGAAATCAAGGTAAAACGAAGGACAAGGGAAGGGAAAGGAGGAGGAAGGGACATATAAACGGCGGGCTAGGAAGGAAGAACAAAGACGGAAAGAAGAGAGCGAGGGAGAGAAAGAAACAAATACGTAGACCAGCGGGAAGAAATACGGAGACCAAGGGATAAGGAAGCATAAGAAGATGGAGAAGAGAGGGAAAAGGAGAAAGAGGAAGTGACATATAAAAGGCAGGTGAGGAAGGAAGAACAATAAAAAGGAGGGGAAGGGGTAGATGGGAAGAAATACGGGGACTAGGGGATAAGGAAGGAGAATTAGAAGAAGACGGAGAAGTGAGGGAAAAGGAGGTGGAGGAAGAGGAAAGGTCATGTAATAGGCAGGCGAGGAAGGAAGAACAAAGAAGGAAGAAAGAGGGGAAGGGAGAGAAGAAGCAGCAGAAGGCGAAGAAGGGAGGGGCCGGGAGGCGGGGCTGACCTGGGCTCGACGAGCGCGCCGCTCTTGTCGCGGCAGGCGGCGCGTCGGGTGCGCGTGCCGGCCCCGCAGGCGCCGGGCGCGGGCCGGCCGTTGGCGGTGACGGCGGCGAGCGGCCGCTCCAGCACGCACTCGCTCCAGTCGCCCTCCAGGGCCAGCGTGTAGCGGTCGCAGGGGCACGGCGCCGCCTGCGCCAGCGGGAAGCGCGTCGCGTTGCGGCACGCGTCCCGCGCCGCCGACAGCCCTGCAACGCGCCACGCCAGACCACCGTCGGTTCACGCTTCAAACGGCTCGCTTGCCAACACAACGACTAAGCGATGGGCAACGAAATGTAGACATGCGATCGCTGCTGTTATCAAAATATCGGAGTTCTACTAGTGAAACTCACCATGATCAAAAGACGTGCTTCGACATAAATAAAATTGAAGTAGATTTTGTAAACTTTATCCACACAATATCTTTTGATAGATAGAAGATAAAACCAGGCTCCCATTAGACACACTTTAATATATAATATTGCTTTTATTTTGGAAAAATCAGACCCAAAGATGGATTTTTCTGTATATTTTTTTGTTTTCTGTAGTTAAACACAAAAATTTGATAATTTAGTGTACCAAACTACACGACTTCAGAGATTTCACTAATAAAAAATATCAAAATATGACTTAGCGATGCAAATCACTGCCAGACATTAAAAAATATACTTAAGTTTCTCTTGTATTGCGACCATATATACCCTCTGGATCAGATGTCATTAGACACTTCTGAAGACCTTCGTGTTGAATGCAGTCGTAATCGCAAATTTGTAGAATGAGCAAAATAATTTTGAGAATTATTAGCAATTCGTGTATTAAGAATTTAAAAAACTGCTTATGTGTAAATGATTATTCAAATACAGATTATTTTTATTTACAAATATTTTCTGAATGGATTTGCATTTCATTGAAGTAACAATTCACATATTTCAGAAGATGCGCAGGCAGTGCAATATTCGCATAAATAAAATTTGTTGCTTTCATCTTCGCAATAATTTCAATTTCACTTATTCCTAATCCGCACGCAGCAGGCAAATGCTGACGAACGAACGGTAGTAACGCTGACGGGGTGCGTGGGAATCGCCGTACTCACCCAGCAAAGAGCGCGTGCGCGTGCGCGCGGAACACGCGTGCCGGCACGCCGACCAGGGCCCCCACGCGCTCAGCACGCACGGCAGCTCGCAGTCCACGTGGCAGGGCTCCGACTGCGCCGGCGCCGTGCCGTTGTGCTCGTAGCACAGGCTGGGCTCCACTTTGCTGCCCGGGTGGTTGCGGTAGCACCACACCGCTGCCGCACGTCACAGACGGAATAAGCATAAACAAATGGTTGACGGTGGGATAGGAATGTCGGTAGGCGATCGGTATGCATGAGGCTTCACTGTCCTACGAAACTAGCGGAAATGCTATTATTATGATAATTATTGGCATTATTTTAATGATAATAATTATTTTTCAATATATTAAAAATATAAACCCCCTTGTATATAACTGTATTACTGTAATGCACTGTACTGTATGTAGAATACATAACTGTTGCCGATAGACGAGAGGGGCACAGGAAAAAAAGTTAGTACGAGTAAAAGAATTCTCAGCTGACGCCTATTTTAAGACAGAATCATTTAAGAACAATAAGTGTATTCTGTCGATTTAATACCGTTCCATTATTTTTAAATGCTTCAAAACACTTCCTTCGAACTAACGAATCGAAACTGACGTTCTTTTGTTTTTATAGAGAACCATGCCAAGAGCCCCTGCTTTACTTGGGTATAGGCATTCCGCATGGCACTACTGTATTACGGCACAGAGATGGTCATACAGGGGATGCTATTGTAACAAAACGGCTTCATGTTTATTGAGTTCGTATTTAAAATAAATATTATCGTAATTTTATAGGATTTTAAACGAATAATTTATTTATACGTTATATTCATCAATGCAAAACAAATGGCAATTAAAAACTGAACAGATATTGTAAGGGGGTTCATGAATGCGCAGGAAGATCTACAAGGTATGTGGCATTCCATTATCTAATTTTAATAAAAATGTCAGAAATGTTAGCATTTTATTTATTTATTTACGTTGGAAACAGTTAAACACTGTGCGTAATGAGCTCTGCAAGTAATGGGAAATTATAGTATGAATTTACCGAGATATTAGAAAAGAATAGAAACATACTGATGAATAACTTGTAAACTTACTGTGCTTAAACAAGTCTAATGGTCTCGGTTGACTCGGCGACGCCGTCGACAGCTGCGATGCCGTTATTTGGGATCTACTAGGTTTACTAAATGTCGTAGTCTCCTTTGGAGCTAATATGCGCCAGGATACCGGCATAAAGGTTAATAACATGATGATCGTCAAAACGGCATTACGTCTTCGATGCAGCGTCACCCAAGCTGACTAGATCATTATCATGACAATGGCCGCATATCAACATCCAACGAAATACTGTAGTATATAATGTGACCATTAAATAAATACCTTCATTTTCAAAATACTGTACTGTTATATTGATATAAGCAACCAAACAGAGGAAAGGACAACTACTCTTAACTGCCACCTTCTGTGAATTTGAATAGTCTGGCTTCCACTAAAACAATGGAAACATGATTTTTGCCTAAATGCGGAGAAGGAGTCCTATTCAAAGAAAATATATTGCTTTATTTTTATGTTTTATATTTTTTCTCATAAGAGGTGATATGAATGGGTGAAAACCAAAACGATATAACTGACATTTTATAAATTCTGAAAAAGGTGTTTATTTTAAGATATCTTTCAAAAGTGTAATGTAATTTCGTGATTTTAATGAAGAATATAGATGCCGTGGTTTTAATGATGAATCAAGGCACAGTAATATTGAATGAAATAAAGTTTTCTCAGAATTTATAAAATGTCACTTATACCGTTCTGGTTTTCCCCCATTCATATTACGGAAAGTGTTGAAGAGCACACGGCCAATATCACAAATAACGGGCTTGGTTGGTTGTAAACCCCGCCTATCGCATCGGCTCACAAACGCCAACTGCGTCCGTTCCTCGCTCTCCATCAGCCGGAGCCGCCGAGAGACGAAGTACTCACGGCGCGTGCGGTATCCGATGCCGCAGCTGAGCTGCTGGGGCAGGCTGCAGTCGGACCAGGGCCCGGCGCCCCAGGCGTAGCGGCGGCAGCGCGCGCCGGACAGCGGGCACGGCCGCAGCTCCTCGGCCGGCGGGCAGGGCGCGCCGCCGTGGCGGGGCCAGCGCAGGGCCACGCGCGCCCGCGCCTGCGTGCGGCTTCACTCGCCGTGCGCGCCTCGCGCTCGAATCTGCTGCACCCCCACCACCCCCGCCCCGCGGGGAACTCGGCGTCCGGCCGCGCCGGCGCGGGGAGCGGGCAGCGGGGAGAGGCGAGGACGAGTCGGGGATTTGTGTCCTTGGGACGTGTTTGAGGCGTGACTGTGTCGACGCGAGAATCCCGATGGTCGTTCGAAACCGCGCGCTAAATCTTCTCAGAATCTCTTTCCCGTTAGTGCTTCTATGCTAGCAAATTCCTATTTGTAGCTAGTAGGACCGGATATGGATCCTTCGAAAGTCGGCTTTTTACAGAATTCATTATCTAGGTGCTTTTACGGAGCACATTGGGTGTGAGAGTAATATGTATTTCGATTTTGAAGAAATAAGTATGGTTGAGGCAGGGTTTATGATTTGATTGTATGTGTATAGACATATAAAATATATAATTAGACATGTGTATGCCTCATACTAATCTAAGTGTTTATAAATACTCGTCTTTGATAAAGAGTCGATATAGTGTTTATTGCAAAAAATTCAGTAATAGAAAAAAGTATTTTATTAATTTAAACTTTGAGAAAAATGTTAAAAGTGCATTTTTTTAAATGTGGAAATTGAAAATGTAAATGCAGATATAAAAAAATCCTCAAATGAAAATTTGTAAAAATTATGAATGATAAAAAGCTATAATTGAAAAGTTAAGAAAAGGTCACACAATATTTAAAAAATGTAATGTTCAGTAAAATTAGACGATAAGTTAAACCATTGAGACATAGAAATTAGTGTTGAATTAGAAGTTGAAAGTAAATGAAATGTGACAGGAAAAGTATATTGGAATAAGGGAAATATGGAAAATGCCAAAGATATCTGGGCCAATCACAATTTCACCACACACGCAAGAAAAAATATTTGAAATAAAATATGCCTAGTAATTGGAAGGCCTTTTCAAACTACTAAACCAACAACTACAATAAAAGTACTTTCTTCACGAACACTCAAAAACACTTCTAAAGGCAATTTTGGGCTACATTGTCTCAAATGGCACATAAAGACAAATGACGAGATAAGGTCTTGTATAGGGTCGCAAAGAAACAAGTGAATAGCGTGAAAAATATTACACAGTCTTGCGTATCATGCCGAGTCAGTAGTTTCAGCACAAAAATGGATTCTTTTGCTTCTAGATGAAAAGAAACAGGTTGTACTTTCATACATTAACTACACTCCTATGTCCATGCCAAGAAACACATTAAGATCCAGTTGTTCTATATCTTTTAAAGCAAAACTGACAAGTATGTAACATGCTACAAAGGCCACAAGCCTTGAACGCATATGTCCTAATAACATCACATCACACTGTTTCAAGTTCACAAGTCTTATATAAACTGTCCACACTTGAACATAGAAAGCAAATGCGCCCCCTTAAAACAAGTTCAGCAGTACCTTCAATGTCCCCTGCAAAGTAACAAAATTACCTGCAAATATACATGAATGTGGCCAAAACTAAGAGCTGTGAATTATATTGTTGCAGTAACTTGCAATATTGAATATTAAATGAATATTAAAATAACATATAGGCCAGATGGCCAACCTTGCATGTCAATAAAATGAAAATTCATGCTTTTTTGAGAACATGTGAATAGAAAAACTATGAATGATCAAATACTGTATCTCTGCATGTTTTACTTGTAGTAATAACTAATTGTTTCAAAAGTTATAAAGGAAACAAATGGTACTTTGTGAAATGGTGCAATATCCTAGAAATTACAATAGTAACTCAGTGTTCATTACATAGCACATAGCTTTTCCCACAACTTCTACCTGCTAAAACTGCAGAGATTCTTCACGTAATGGGAGGTTAGACACGCAGGCTCATGCAACTGCATGACAGTCCTTGCTTTCAGGAGCTAGCATCAGCACGTCTGAGTTTTAAAGGTTGGTGTTGCTATGGGTATAAGTGAAGTTTAAAACATTGTGCAGCTCATAGAATATAATTCATGAGGTAATCGCTAGCAATTGAAGCATTAAAAATGTGAAATAGGGGTCCTACAACTGATGCATACACACAGAATGTGATGTAAACCAAGTTAGGTGAAAAACGGAAAGTGAGTCCTCTCCTATGTGCCATTCTGCATGCATAACTTTTAAGGTGTAATTTCCATTTTATTGACATTTATAACAGCCGTACATCCTGTTCTATAGCAAGTCATGCCATTCATCGACCACTCTTTTGATTGGAGGAAAAGTATTTGCAGAAATGAATTGGGGAAGAGAGCAGAAGGAAAAGAAATAGGATGTGACAAAAATGGAAATAATGTAGAATGAAAGGAATAGAAAATGAGAGAGATTGTGGTGAAATTGAAATGAAGTAAAAGTGTATGATAAATCTTGGGAATGATATCCAAAAATTTAGGAAGAGAGGAATAAATCACATTATCACTTTAGGTACAAAGATGAAAATTTGATTAAGATTATGACATGTAGAAGGATAAGAGTGGATCACATCAAAAAAATATTACAACTTGTAATCATATTTTGTGATGGAGATCACTTATAAAGAGGTGAATGAAAGAGTGAAATAGAAAAGAGAAAAGGAATATGAGAATATAAAGAAAGTTAGAAATTGTGTTTTTGAGGAATATAAGTCAAAAATATACGATAGGTGAAATGGAAGTACAGCAAGACAGCTATGGAAGCTGGATACAAAGCATATATTCACAAGACAGACAGTATAGTCAAGAAGCCACACTCAACATTCAGCCAAAAAGTATTCAAAGTATCATGAAAGGCAGATTCTAAATAGAATTACTGATGTGCTAGAGAAAGAACAAAGGAAAGAGATAGAGGGAAAGTAATGTGAGGTATAAAAAACCTACAACAAAGTTGTAGGAAGTCAAGAAAAATTGAAGAGGTTTGGTGAAGAGGTCTATAATATCAATATTGTTCCTTGATCATAACCAATTTCATCACTATATTACTGAAGCACATTCAAATAAATGTTGGATATTTCTCATTTGTATTTATTAAATCTTGAGCACTGATTATTGAAAATTGATGAATGGTGATGTGTGATGATCTTGTCCACAGGGGTCAACAGATGTAACAATAACTAGACTATTCCAACGAGGATGATGATATGTGGATTTCAGATGTGCAGAGTTTGCAGAAGAGCTTGGTTCCAGTACATGCAGTTCCAGTTCTTAGGAGTCACAGAAAATTGCCAAATAAAAGAAGGTCCATGTAGTAGAGTTAATGCAGGTCTTTCATCAGGTTTCGATCAAATATACTGCATCAGAAGTCAGCCACCTCTCGGTTAATGAAAATTTGTTCTGATTTTCTTGTGGGTATTGAAAGAATTTCTTAATGCATTGTTCTTGTTCGTTTTTATAACATACGCAGAATCAATTTAAACTATTGCTTTCTTTGTGGTTGTTTTGCAGACACGTTCTATTGTTGATAATTTTTGATAATTTGATAATAGTACATCACTGAAGGGTTCTTTAGTAGTAATCAGCTTTTCTTGATATGCTTACATGATTTGGTTTTTTCTCTCTCAGGATCTTCAATATGACTTGAGTGATGAGAATTTACATTTCACTTACTCATATAACAAACATTTGAAATACATTAAGATAATTTTGTAATTCAAAATATTCTAAATAATGAACAAACGAGAAATGACATTTCATACATAATATGCTAACTTTTAAACATTTGATTCATGAAATTAAAAATGTTAATTGAAAAACACAACAATAATTTTCTTTAAAACAGAATATGTGAAGATTTTTATAAAATGTCAGTCATTTATTCATTCATTGTTGCACTTTGCACGAAATATAATGTTTCTTCCAAATTGTAGTAGGATGAGTATAACCAACATTCACACTTCTTCATTTTCTTCTGCTTCTTCTCTCCATCTTGATTCCTTTTATCTTGTATAATTGCACATCTTTTGAAAACACACTCCGATTGACTCGCATGTATTGTATTATTTTACAACAGTGGAGAACACATTCTGCTGATGTGAAATTGAATTCATAGGCTCACAGAATATAACAGGCATTTGAATAAGGAATGTCAATTTAGGCGAGAAAAAGAAATGTTCTCTCAGTTAAAGGTCAGTTTTAAAAAAAGAAGATATCATGTTTGCTAGCAGAACAGGTACCATCAGCGAACTTTTACTTTAATCTCATCATAAACTGACAGACCTCTCAATTACAAGGAATTTCTATTAACATATCTGATAAAAATTACAATTTTCGCTCATAGAAACAATAACAATTTAGAAAAGGGTAAGGAATTCTGACTAGGAAAGAGAAAGAATGTCAAAACTGATCTCACATGAAGTGAATGGAAAAAGACAAACAGCTAACAAAGTAAAAAATGATCCAGCAACACACAAGGTTACAATAATATTTACTTTACGAAAGGAATGTCCTCATCAAACATACACAACAAACTATCAAATAACAATAAAGACAAATGCAAAAATTAACAACATATTCTTATGTGTACCAATATGAGAAGTTGCAATATTTTCCTTGGAATGTGCACTATTAAGTAACTCTTGCCTACTAAAAATTTTATAGAACACTCATTGTTACTGAACATAAGACAAACACTTCCTTCTATTATGTCTACAATGAAGTGCCTAAAATGAACAATAATCTACAAATAATGTGAGAAAAGTGTAAAATATCTATAGAGAAAAGTCAATATATAAGTGAGAAACAAATTTTAAGCCCAAAATGTGATAAAAACAGTTGTTTTTACAAAGCAGAACCTGGCTGATAAACATGAAATACGAGTACTTGAATGCCTACAACTTTACAGTTCTACACAGATCACATGCTGAGTTGGAGCATTTAATGACTAGTTAGAAAACTGGAGCAACAGATACCTACAGTTTTGAACAGCCAATGCATTGGATATCAAAAGTCCTGTGTATAAATATTTATAAGCAATTGAAAAAGACAAAAGTATCATTCTTTGAGTTCATATCTGAAGCAAAAATATTACACATATTACACAATAGGCTAAATTGAAAAAAATGAAATTTGTTTAAAAACTCATTAGAAAATATTAAATGAGCAATGAGAAAAATCTTATAGTATTGTTAAAAAATATGAATATTTACAAGCTAAAAGATCTCATGTCTTGATACTTGATCTTTAAGAATGTAAATATGCAAAGAAGCAAAAGATAAAAAGGTTCAATTAGCATGGAAAAGTTTCATTTAAAAATATTTGAAGTTTGTAAATAATTTAAGGTCAAAAGTAAAACACATTTTGTAAATTATTACACTGATGAAAAATTAATATTGTAATTGAGTATAGCAATTATAGTATATATTATAAAATAGAAATGAAATTGAATACAATATTTGCAGTTCTCAAAATTTGATAAAAACAGTAAAATCTAAATAAGCAGAAAGTTTGTGTTTGTGAAATATTGCATGTTTGATGATAAGTAACAATTCATGCTAATAAGTACTTCAGTACATAAATTGTTGAAAATATATCAATGTAAAAATACAACACACAGAAATTTTAAATTTCACACTCATACAGACGTATTTCAGGATTGAAAATTTCATTTGTAAAATTGGATTGCATCACATAGGAAAATCATGGAGTTCTATAAAAGTCAAAAGAAAGAACCATGTACAAAAGTTATGGAAGATTGAAATATTAAATTTGAAAGAAAATTGCAAATTTTAAAATACAATGTAACATGTGAATAACTGAGAAACCTTATTGAAAGTAAGAAAATGTGAAGCGAAACACAGAGAATGTTAAAGTATAAATTTATTATAGAGTGCTGTGTGGAAACTATAGTGACTCCTAGGTGAAAGGATAAGAATGTGGCAGACAGAAGAAAGCAGAGACATAAAAAGATTAAGAAATTCAATAAAAATTTTCATATTATATTAAAAATAACTGCCCTGGAACTATAATAAGTTATTTAAAAAAATGATTTGTATAATTGTTCAAATTAAAATCCTAATTAAATAGGTATTTGTAAACTCTGAATTTTAATATTTAGGTCTGTGCAGCGCTAAACATTCAAAGAGAATAGGAGTGAAATTGAGGAAAGTATTATAGAAAGTGAACTTTTATATGAATGAAAATTATTAAAAGGCACAACAAATCGAGAACAGTAATTTAAAATAGTATCTTAAGCAAAAATATAAATTAAAGAGAAGATCTTAAAAACTCCTCCAAAGAATATTAAAAAGAAGTGAATCACGACCTAGAAGAATTGAGGTGCGAAAAACAAAATTGCAAACCATGAATAAGGAATTGAAGGTGACGTCAGTGCTCCAGTCCATCCGCAGAAACAAAGAAGCAGCCTCCAGGCGGAGCGGCGATTCGCCCGGAGGGCCTAGCGGTTGGCAGAAAGACAGGTGGGAAGGAGGAGGAGGGAGGGGGAGACGGGTTGGGTGAGTGAGAGAGAGAAGAAAGAGGAGAGAGAGAGAGACGAGGAGAGAGAGAGGGAAGGAGAGGGAGAGAGGAGGCGACGCCGCGTCCGGCGCACCGAGTCAGCGCGTGGCGCCCGCATCGGGCCCTGGGCGGGGCCGCGGCGGCGCGCCGCCCGAGGTCTCGCCGGACCGGCCGGCCCCCGCCCCGCCCCGGGCGGCCCCGGGCCCGGCGGGCCGGGCCGGTCGGGCGGCGGGCGGCGCGGCAGGCCGCGGGGCCCGGCGTCCCCCGGCGACGGCGCCGTGCCCCCCGCGCGCCAGGCCGACGGCGGGCACAGCCACCACACCTGGCACGCAGTGCTGCGCAACGGGCTCCCACTCCGACCACGGCGACATCTGGCAGGTCCACGGGCACGGCCGCGTGCACGGCCGGCTGGTGTCGGGCTTGGGCAGCGGCTGGCACCTGCGCACGCGTCGCACACGCTCACTCCCCGCTGCGCGCTAGGATGGCCATCCGAAAGTCCAATTGCGGTGGAGGGTAATGTATTTGGCATTTCGGGGTCGATAAGCCGACTTTGCCGGCCAGCTTATGGTGTCCCCCATGTCTGAGCCTTGTTAAATTGCCATGCTTGTAGTAAGAGAGACATGTGGCGGACATGATGTCCCTCCACTCAGCTACAGAAACTAGGACGATTTTAAAGGAACGCAAAAACTATTTTTGCCTCAATGGAGGGTAATTATGGTAGTAATTATAAATATTTGGTATGAGTATCGTACGAAATGTAAATCTCTACAAGACCGGTTATTAAGCATTTTGCGCTCATATGCACATAAAAAGTTATTAAACCAACGACCTGAATAAATAAATAAAATAAATTAATGTCTTTATTGATGGCATTTATTTATTTTTATTAATTTAGGTCGTTGGTTTAAAAACTTTTTATGTGCATATGTGCGCATAAAACTTTTTATGTGCATATGAGCGACCTACATGACTTTTTGAGATACTGTTGAAAATTTTGCAGATATTCATAGTCCTGTATCTCAAACTGTGTCTTTTGTCTCTATCACAGAAGAATGAGAACACATTATCAGGTTCGTACAAACAAGAAAATTTGGGGAGGATTTTCTCGTAAATATGAAGGGCGAGTTTTCAACAACAAACCCTGCGCCATGTTGTTCCTGCTAATTTCTTTTGCCTTATGCCATGATCTGTGTTAGAGCGATTACTTCAAGTGCCCACTTCATAGGACACGCTGAAATATTCTTAGGCCAGCCTTTGCTTCCAATGGGATTTCAAGAAGTCTTAGATAATCAGAAGAACATGTTTTTATTCCGTATTCAAAAATAAGTCACAGTGACTATATTAAGCATAATATAAACAAGTCTTCGGAATAGTAATTAAAAGTTAGCGTATGTTTACGATAAAAGTAACCAAGCAGATGAGCAATTAATTGAATTTTCAGTATGGAGGTGTATGTCAACTACATACATACTTTTCTTATGACTTGTATAAATGATAATAAGAGCAAATATAGAACAGAATACATCGAAAATACGAGTAAATAGAAAGACGGGAGAGCACGTTAATGCCAGAAGTGGATAAAAACTCACCGCCAGTCCTCGACGTGTTTGTTATTTGCTTCCATGCACCAAACCTCGCGCTCCTGGATGCCCCGCCCGCAGTCTGTGGGAGGATCGCCGGACATGTTGGTCGGTCTGGGCCCTGCCAACGACGTATCTTCAATTTCGGCTGATAACACAAAATCAGAGTTTGAATAAAAAAGTCTCCACGATTAAAAATAGAAGTAAATTTTATACATACATGAAAACGTTTATAAAGGTAGTGTCAAAAGGCTTGGAAAGTGAAAAAAATTTCAAGTGACTTTGATGAAGAGACTTCCAGAGTTTAAATTGTAAATACTAGTACATATTAAAACGAAAGTTGTGAACGTTTGTTATGTATGTATAAAAATAATAAACTTTATTTTAAACTTATTTTTTATAAAATTCTTCAAATTTAAATATTATGTAAATTTGTACACATGGTTACTGCAATATACTTGTTTACGGAATTGTAATTTACATTTTTCTTCTTAAATTTGAAGTTCTTTGGGTTTTTTACACGCCTTTGTGAATAAGCAAAAAAAAAACCTGAAATAATATTAGAATATGAAGATTATGCGAAGAAAGGGAGATGCCTGGCTTTTGTTAACAATTAATTATTGAGTAAATTGAAATATTATTCAAGTTTATGTGCCGTAGAACAGGACAAAACGTCTACAATCATTCAATAATATCCATTTTACCTCGAAAGCTACACATAACAAACCGAAATGATTTTAAACGTTTAAATATGCAAGAGTTTACCTTCCTTAGCATTCTACCTTTCTTCTAATAGTTTTAAAATATGCAATGATCCTGCTGAACTAATGCGAACTATTTCATTCCCAAGACAAGGTGTGTAGTGCAGTCCAGCAGGCGTGACACTTGTTCGCCGTTCACGTACTGTGTCCAAATCGCGCGGAGAAATAATTATGGGGCATTTGCTTCTTAAGGATTTGCTTCCTTTGATGAATCGGAGCTCATACCTCCAGGCGGGCCGATGACCGCGGGCGGCACTATTATGTCTGTCATGCCGCTGTCCTCGGAGTCCGAGCTGGTGGGCTGGTTGAGGGGCCGGCAAGGCTGCCAGGGCAACGTCAGCCAGCTGAAGCCGTGGCACGAGTGCACGTTGCACGGTTCCATCTGCAGCATCTCGTCGGGGTCGGGGCACGGGTGCCCACCTGCGGGTGGAGGGCTCTTTCAATTCCCCATTAATGACGGAATGCAGGTAAAGACAGTGAGGGAGAGTACGGGGAGAGAAGGAGGTAGAGAAGAAGAAGAGGGAGAGAGAGGTAGAGGCAGAAAGGGAGATATAGAGAGAGAAAAGGAGAGAGAGAGAGGAAGAAGGAAAGCTAGAGGGAGAGAGAGGGAAGATAAACGCCAGAGACTGTTTTTGAACACAGTTTTTTGAAGTGAAGTATTACGGTTGGTGGAAGGGATTACATTAGACGTTATTTTAAGATTCCAGCAAGAACAAGGCTATGTAATCATACCCTTTTCAACTTCTTTAAACGAAACATAAATATACCCCACAAAAAATTTACTTTTAAATAAAATAAATGTTAATTTATTCTTGTGATCAATTAGTTTTATAAGCTATTTCTTTGTAAAAACGCAATAGTAGCGGTTCTAACCTTCCAAAATTCCAACCTAGGCAAATATATAGTCTCCAACTCTTTTTTATGATGTGTTATGTTATATCTGCATACTATGCTATACATTACTATATTTATATTATTTATATAATATGAAAAGTAAGTTTGTATAGTACACATAACAAACCGAAATCGATACGAAAATCGCAAAAAATAAAATTATGAAAACACGTTTTTAAATCAATTTTTATTTCTTTTCTAAAAAAAACTTGACTTTCAAGTAATACTTTGTCAACATCTAACGGCTATTGATAGATTTGTACTAACAGAATGTATGCAATATAAAAATACGTTTATTATATATTATATTTGAAGCATTGAAATAGGTAGTTCTTTGACACAGAATTGACACAGAACCGCTTCCCAGCTTCTCTTCCCCCGACGTATCTCGGCGGGGCGGAGGCAGGGCGTGGCGGGGCGGGGGCGGGGCGAGAGCAGAGGTGGAAGCGTCGGGAGGGGGGTCCGGGCCCGGGTGGGACGGGACTGTACGTCGGGCGGGCGTCGGGAGCGGCGGTTGGCGAGCGTCGGAGCGGGGGCGGGGTCGGCGGTGGAGCGGGGTCGGAGCGGGAGTCGGGAGCGGGTCGGAGCGGGGGTCGGGAGCGGGTCGGCGAGCGGGGTCCGACGGCGGCGGGAGCGGGTCGGGAGCGGGGTCGGGAGCCGGGGTCGGAGCCGGGTCGGGAGCCGGGGTCGGGAGCGGGTCGGAGCGGGGTCGGGAGCGGTGGGTCGGGAGCGGGTCGGGAGCGGGGGTCGGAGCGGGGGTCGGGGAGCGGGCGGTCGGGTCGGGGTCGGAGCGGGGTCGGAGCGGGTCGGGAGCGGGGTCGGGGAGCGGGTCGGACGGGGTTCGCGGAGCGGGGCGGTGGGCGGGGTGCGGGGCGGAGCGGGGTCGGGGAGCGGGGTCGGGAGCTGGGTCGGGAGCCGCTGGGTCCAGGGGCCCTGGGGCCGGACCTTACCGTGGCCAGGCGGGGGCGACGACGGTGCGGTTTTGCGCTGGCGCAGCGCGGCGTGGCGCGGCGAGGAGCAGGCGTGCGAGCACGGGGACCACTCCGACCACGGCGACAGCACGCAGTCGTACGGGCACGGCAGCAGGCACGGCTCCTCCGACTCGGGCCGCGGGTGCAGGTGCAGGCACGCGGAGTCCTCGGCCGGGCTCTGCGCAACGCCAGCCGCTCGCACTTACTGACAAGGACACTTCTCTGCGGGGTGGGGCCTACATCACGTCAGCGATGCGGCTCTTGGGCAAGAAGGGGAAGAGAAGAAATATTAAAATAAAAGGAGCAAAACTTTGGGGTCTTCTGGTTTCTAATGTAAAAATTAATATTTGAGAGTTTTAAATGATTTGCTCAATTTTATTTCATTTTATGAGGCATTCCACAATCGTAAGAATAATTTAGGTGTTTTTACGGGAGGTTTAGTATTCCGTACTGATAGTCTCAGTCTCTCTCTCTCTCTCTCTCTCACTCTTTCTCTCTCTCCCTCTCTCTCTCACTCTCTATTTCCAGATGAGCACTCATTATTGAAAGTGACGAGAGGAAACTGGTTTAATAAAGAACAGGAAAGCAATGTTAGTGGGCCATATAAATTGCATAAAAACATTAAATGTGAGTAAAATAACCGGAAAAAAGGAGAATAATAAATAAAGTTTGGTCATGTGAGAAACGGAAGAAGCTGTAAGTAGATGAAAGGTCGTAATGCATCGTCGAAGAAGAAATGAAAGTAGAAAGATGAAAGAAGAAGAAGAAGAAATAGAAGACACAGACAAACATTTTAAAAGAAAAGGATGATGAAGAAAGTTGAAAGAAGAACAAAAGAACAAAATCAGTAGAAAAAGTAAAAAAATAATAAAATAGAAGAAGAAACAGAAAAATAAGGACGAAAGAAGAGCAATCCGAAGAAGAAGAAGAAAAGCCCTCGCACTCACCCCGTAGAGCGTGCGGCAGGTGACGGCGCGCGCGCGCCGGCCTTCGCCGCAGCGCTTCACGCCCGGCCGCAGCTCGCACGGCCCCCAGGGGCCCTCCGACCAGCGGTGGCACGCGGGCTGCGGGCACGGCTGCACCTCCGTCACGGCCTGGCACGGCACGCCCTGCTCCGACGGCTGCACCAGCACGGCGCGCCGCCGCTCGCGGTACCCTGCGCCCACGCAACACACGCCCGCCACGTTAGGTAATGCCCTATTTTACGAGGCGAGACTCGAGCCATCGCGTCCGCTCTCCCGTGTGACCACGCAGATTTCGCTACGCTCCGTTCTACCTGAGAAAGAAGGTATTATTCGAGCGACGAAATGGAGGATTTGAATTTAGCTCTGAGGCTTCTTTTGGGTTTGAGGATCTTTTGCTTGCAGTAAATCTATAACATTGGACAGTCTGCTTTACACCCCCTTCGAAGGAAAACGTGCAAAGGATTTTTGCGCCTTTAAAAATTCACGGCTTCGATCGAATTTGTGCCCGCAAACTTGGGCCCGACACACTAACCGTTGTTCCACCAAACCCGCACCCACTTTAGGGAACCCGAGTCCTCCAAGGGTTCTCGCTTTTGGTTGCTCATTTGGTGACAGAAAAGGAAATTTGTCACACACTTGTCGACAATGTGTCAATGCAATCGAAGGGGTAAGATTCATGAACGACAAAATAAAGATTTTAAAAATTGTTTCGTTATTACGTTCAATTTGTCATTTAAGTATGATTCTGGAATGCTTTGCATCGCACAAAGAGTAGAAAGATGTCGGGACATTAATGTCTATTTTGCCGGATTGTTCTCGGCCTTAAATAGTATGAGAGACCGCGAGTATTTAATCTTTTTCTATTTATTTTTTTTACAAAGAAAACAAAACATATTTTAACGATATGCGATTACATACCAACGAAACTTGATGCACATCACACATATAAAACATTATGTATGCGATAGAATGGTATTAACTTATTATTCAATCGTCGGAAAAAAGAATGGGAAAGGTAAAAAGTGAAATCACATTTTGAAATCACAAATTGAATGGGAGGTATTGGCCCGAAGAAATGTTGTCACTATGAGTATTCAAATTCACTATGAATATTCAAATTACAAATACCGAACAAAAGGCAATGGCCATGGCAATTTCATTTACTAAGCAAGCCTTACGATATTTAATTATTTTCCAAACACATTTATTTTCTTCACAATGTCACTATCGTTAAGCAAGATCGTATGTCATCGAGAATGTCATAGAGACACTACTATTTGTATAAAAAAATTAATTTCAGCGCTAAGGAAAACAAATTGTGACAATTAAGCCTTCTTTAACAACGTTTTACAAAACAAATGCTCACCTTCTGCCGGGGGTTCTCCTGTGTGGGGGCAGTCCAGAGGCCTACATGGCCCCCACTCTCCCCACTCCCCAACCTCGCAGTCTCTTGGGCACGCCACTTCACACCTAAACATACGTAGATCATTCAAATAAGAACAGGCATCGTGCCTCGTGATAAGGAGTTCTTCAGGGTTTGTGTATATTGCTGCACAAATAAAGCTTAACTTTGAAATGTTTGAACTAGTGTCATTTTTAATATTTAAAACTTAACTAGTATCTAAAAGAACAATTACTATATAATGTTTCTGTGTGTAACCTGTGTCTATCCATTCTGATGCGTTCAATGTGGCAAATAACATGCACGACAAATGTAAAAAACAAGAAAAAAATCTGCCAAAATGCGTGATTTGTGGAGGCAATGACCCGACGAATTATAAAGGTTGTCAAGTGTACCAGGGATTTTTAAAAAGGAGAGGCCGCAATAATTTAAAGAAAGAGAGAAGAATCTTTCAAAATGAAATGGTGGTACAGCCACATAACCATGACTTCAACTACAAGTGAAAATGCTATATTGACCACTAGGACACCATTCGAAGCTATCCTACGAAAACAAATTATAAAACAATCATGATCCCTATATGGACCTACAACATACAAAAATTGAGTAAGCCTCTACAATTTATAGAGATTACAATAAAAAACGATTAGGATAATTGCTGCAGCACCATGGTTTATATCAATCACAGCGCTGCACAGAGACTTGAAGGTGCCGTCAGCTTTTGATAGAATTGAAAAAAGCAAGTCAAACTATCTTCGACGTCTGGAAAGTCACCCAAATACTCTAACATCAACCTCCTAGATAATAATGAAGAAACCTTCCGATTACCCAGAATGCCGCCCTTTCAACTCCATTCCGCCGCACTGCGTGCACCAACGTACCTCTGCACGGTGGGCAGCGGCTGCAGCGAGGCGCACAGGTCGGCGCTGACGGGCCGGCCGGAGCTGGCGGCGACGCAGGTGACGTCGCGCAGCTGCACGCCGCCCCCGCACCCCACCTCGAGCGTGTGCGCCGTGCCGCCGCCGGCCGCCGGCGACTCGTCCGACGTCACCACGCAGGGGCTCCACTTGGACGCCAGCCAGCGGTACCTGCGCCGCCGCACGCGGGGGCTCGCTCGCAACGCAGGCGCGCGCGCTCGCTCGGGACTCCGCTCGAGACGGCGGGTGGGATGGGCGAGATATGCGAGAGGGGGCGCGGGGGGAGAGAAGAAGCGAGAGGGTTGAGAGAGGGCGAGTGGGCGAGAGGGGGTGAGAGGGGCAAGAGGGAGCGAGAGGCGGCGAGAGAGAGCGAGAGGGTGTGAGAGAGTCGAGAGGGGCTGAGGGGTCGAGAGGGGGCGAGAGGGAGCGTGAAGGGGCAGAGGGGGCGACAGGGGACGAGAGTTAGACGGAAGGTGGGCGAACCTCGACGGTTAGTCGCGGTGGCTGAAGTGGAGGTCGCGGGCAGACGGAATTTCGTGAAAGAAAGAGCGTGCTCAGAGGTGACGACTATCTCAAATGTCAAGTCATCGCGCATCATAGCACGCCCTTTAAAAGAAGGGCCGCGTACCATCAGAATATAAAACTCGTTTGTTGTGTGAATAAGCCTTAAACGAAGGTAGTTGAAATATTGTCTGCGGGTGTCTTTGAATGATTCAACAAGATCACACGCTCTATTCGATTGTTTGATTCGCTTCCATACTTTTTGTGTCCAAACTTGACGTGGCACTGTTACTTATCGTGGCATGTGTTTCTAAATAAAACATTGATTCCACTGATGGCGTTTATATGTGAATTAGTTCTCTGAGTTGAATGCATTTCTTAACATAGATTGTAAGTTTTGCGATGATTGAAAGTGTGGACATTAATTTACTATATTTTAAGTTAACAATAATAAAAGCAACTATTATGAAATTTTATACGTGAACACGCAGGGTTTAATTGGTGTACTTCTGTGACCACGAAGGTGAAAATCAAACAGGGAGAACGTACGAGCACCGAGTTCCAAACTCCATGCTTATTTCGCCATAATCCCACCTGTACCGAGTGAAGTTAGCATGTATTAATCGAACGCAGCTTAAAAGGGCGTCGAGAGAGTGAAAAGGAAAGGGTATAGAGCCGGACATCAGGAAAATGAATCGCCGGGAAGTTGTGACGTCATCTGGGTGGTAGTTTTAAGGTAGATGATAGTGATGGCACTACTGTCGGCGAGCAGACCAAGGGCATTACTTAGAATTTGTTCAAATTAGCTGATTCACAGGACACGAAGTTTGTCGCCGGCATTTAAACGAATTGCTTAAGACAATTTGAAGTTAGGTAAGGGGTTATTCATGTTTTCAATTGAATCTATTACTATTTTAATTTACTGATTTGCATGTTTACTAAATATTTATTAATGAAAATTATAAAGTATTAATTATCATAAACATAACCACATTTTATTAAAATCAACTATGTTTTGAATAAATAAACTCATCTATTAAATTAATACAAATATTAACAGGTTTTGTTCCTGTGCTAATATTAAAAATATGTTCTTTTTAATTCGTTACTCAAATATTTTTCGGTGCTTGCCGTGAAAGGCTTCAGCAATAGTCAAATCATGGATTCTGTCGTCATCCTTGGTCCTCTAACGGCAGCGAGTTGCGGCGGGGCGAGGGGCACTCACTTCTGCGCGCAGGGCGGCAGCGCGTCGCGGTCGGCGGAGCGCCGCGTCTCCAGCAGGTGCGGGCAGGGCCGGCCGTCGCCCTCGGGCAGCCGCACCACCTCCCGCTTGCGCGTCTGGATCTCCGGCCGCGCCTGCCGGCACGCGCACGCGCACGCGCACGCGCTCGCTCAGGGGAGCCGCGCCTTGGGGTCTGTTATGCAGGGTATCTCAGAATAAATGTTGCCTACGTCTGGAGCCTCTAGTATTGTTCAGTAGTGAATCTTGGACTCTAACAAAGAAAACAGCAAATATACTCGCTGTACGGGAGAAGAAAATCTTACGAAGAATGTTTGGTCCGTTCAAGGAAAATGAAATCTGGAGATGCCGAACCAACCCAAAATTGGAAGAACTATTTAAAACACTCAAAATAGTTACAAGTATTAAAGCGAAAAGACTGGAATGGTTGGGTCACCTAATTCGAATGAAGAGAAAGCCGTTAGATAGGTATACGTAGGGAGTGTGACCGGTAAGAGAGGAAGAGGTACGCCTAGATTAAGATCGAATGATGAGGGGGAGAAAGATTTGAGAAACCTACTTGTTAAAAGATGGCGAAGAAAAGCGGAAGAAAGAAGAAATTGGGCTGTTATAATAAAAGAAGCCAAGGCAAATCTGTGAGTGCCGGAGAGTTGATAGAAGAAGTACTTCTGGGAGAGCTAGGGGATCGAAGATGTTCTTCTTTTTGCCCATGAACACATGGCGGTATATATCGCATAACAAGTGACATTTGCCTCTGATTGATACGCAACTCATCATACTCTAGTGTTTGCAGGTATGTTCTGACACAAATACCGTAAATTAATTGATTATTTCGTGTTTTCGGTAGCTATGTTCATTAGTACCGTAAGTGAAGTGCGTGTTTTATCAGGGGAGATGGTGTTATTTCTCCCCTCACTGGATGGCAGGATCCGGCACCGACCTACATGTCGGCTTACGGGTTTTCTCCCATCCAGGTTTCTCCCGTAATGAGCAAAGGCGATAATCGCTCTCGCACATTTGCGCAGGAAGTTGGCGACGCACATACTCCATGGCAATCGCTTGCTTAAAAACTGATGTTCTGGGGAGGCAGAGGGATTAAATATCCATCACAGCTAGAGAACTGAGCTATATAGGCACTATCAGGTTCAAAAGAGTTCACTATCCGTTAGTAAAATAAATCCAAAATACAGATGTATTACGAAGAATATATGTTATTGCACAAAATTCTTTTGTAGAAAAAGAACGGATACAATAAATTGACCGACTGAGGGCAGCCTTGGAAAGATAAGATTGAGGCCCCTACTCATACAGCAGAGAAATGAACGATGCCCTTAAAGGTGGGCGGGATGTTCGCCCTTATGAGCGATTGACCTTAACAGCAGCAACTAGCCAACCCTGCTCTAGGGCGTTATCTCGCAAATTTCCAGCAAATGCATCCACTTTGGGAATGTGCGAACGAATGAATCTCCCTGCTGGCGTTACAGACCGCCTGGTTCACATGGAGTCGTATGAGACCGCTACTCACCCTGCCGCCGGCGGCCACGCAGCCGTCTTGCGTGCGCGTCCACGCCGACCACTGCGACACGACGCAGTCCTGCGGCACGACGCACGGCCGCACGCGTGCAGGCAGCGCCGTCCCCGTCGCCTCCCCCAGGCACAGGCTGCGCACGCACGCGCGCGCGTCGTCACTCACGCTCGCCTCGCCACCCTCCCTCCGGCGCGGGAGGGGGGGCGGGCGTAATGAGCAGCAGGGGCAAGGCAATTCAGAGCTACTTTCAAACACGATTTCATAGATACATAGATACTCAAAGATATGCTATTTATAAAAGAATTATAAAGCGAATTCCAAATATAAAGTTGAAATATTACAGTTAACAATAGCTTTCTTTTTCAACAATGTTTACCAAATGTTTTGTTTTAATATGAAAATTTACTTGGAGTTGAAATAATTGGAATTTGGATTGGGATTTTAGACTTTATCAATCAAATCTTGTATCATAATGCCTTCATATAATATTTAATCGCAATAATTCATTCCCCACATAACAACCAAAGTACACCCACAATAAGAAAAATATAATTTTCGCCAGTTTTAACTTTTATAGCTTGTTCAACTGAGTCCTAAGATCAGTTTTGCATCCAAGTGAATCATCTTTTTAACGTGTAACTTTGTGCCTCTTATACAGTTTTTTATGTATCAAATTGAGATATCAAACGCTCATCATTAAGAATTCAAGGAATATGCAAAAACGTGAAGATGCTACTTTAAATTTTGTAAATTTAAAATGAACTTTTATTCAATAGTATTTGACATTTTTAAAATTTGTAAATGGAATATGCTGTGCGTTTTTAAAGTTTTTCAATTGAACATTCAACTCTAAATCAAATATACGATATAAAACTTCTGAAGACAAACGTATGAGATCATATGCCATCAAACGAGATATAAGTCAACTATGGGGGCATTACTGTTATTCAACGAATGCAAATTGAATATGTAATTAATTACTATGCGTGGTAATTAAAAGGAACACAATTATGATTGTCTGTACATTATACATTTTTTTATGAAAATGGTAACCTCTAATATTAAAAACAAACCAAGTATTTTTTAATATAATTATTTTATTTCTAATTTCATTTTCACTTGTAATTTTAAATCTTGCTTTATTTTAGCATTGTTATTACATATTTTAAAAAATCAACGAGGGAAGAAACATTTTTAAATATTTGAGTTTCTGTCGCGAAACGTTGTCTTTTAGTAGATTTACGGCAAAAAAAAATTCAGTTACAAGTACTCGGTTTGATCAACTTTAATATTCGATACCATTGCCATAAAAACATTCTATGCGTCATGCACCAACCACCCCGAAAGAGGAAGGCGGCTTTGCTCGGCGCGGGCGGCGCACTCACGTGAGCTGGACGGCGGCGCCGTGCGAGTCGCGGCACGACACCTCGCGCATCTGCAGCCCGACCTGCGGCTGGAAGGTGTAGTAGGCGTCGGCCGCCTCGGCCGAGCTGGCGCCGCCGCCGGGGCCCGGCGCCGGGTGCTGCGGGAAGTCGCCGG